CATTCCCACCAACAGTGTAGGAGGGTGCCCGTTTCTCCACATCCTCGCCAGCATCTAGAGTTCTCTGATTTGCTCATTTTAGCCACTCTGACTGGCGTGAGGTGGTATCTCAGTGTGGTTTTGATTTGTATTTCCCTGATGAGGAGGGATGCTGAGCATCGTTTCATGTGTCTAGAACAAATTCTTAATTTTTCGAGAAAACACAGTTGTAAGAAATTTGAGAGAAGTTGATAGTTCATATGAACTATATGAATGTGAACAATTTCCACGTGAAAGGTCAGCCCTTAAGAGTAAATACAAAAAAGGCAAAAGTCACTCAAGTTGCTAACAAGCCAACCCCTCAAATCTTTTGGTTTCATCTCACCTAGCTTGGTTTCATAGTCTGTAAGATTCACACTGTGGTCATAAATTCAAACTCCCTCTCTGCTGAAAATACACTGTAAAACTGAATAGAAGTCACATAAACATCTTCCCTAAACAGGAAATGGATATGACTGTAGCAGATGATTTTGGCTGCCTACTCAGTATCCAGTCTCTTTTTTCTATAACACAGGCCAAATTTTGTTACTGTCCAAGATACACTCATCTTCTCACTGTTTAAAATTAAAAGGAGGTTTAACTTAATGTTCATGATAAACTTGGTATGAAAAAGACAAGACACTTAAATGTATAAGATTAGAAATATTGTGATAGATATGATGGGCTAGATATCATAATGGATCCAATGGATCCCAATTATACAAAACAATCATACCAATTTTTGATGGAAATAATGTCTCATCATCCAACTGGTCCTGAACCCAAGTCATCAGGTAATCAATATACTTTGGCGCAGAGCACTTAATAGGCTTCTTTATGTTTGTTCCATCTGCCCAGTGATACTCATATCTGTATTGGAAAGATAATAGGCACATAGAATATCAGTGTATGCTATACAAAAAGCATATGTTTTTATATTATTAAATGTATGTATATTATGAATGTATACAGGACATGTTTTAAACAATCTGTTTGTCCAAATAAAGATCTTTTGTATGTAGCATTCAAATTTAGAGTTTTTAAACTGCTACTGGACTCTTTTGCATTTAGCATGATCCAAACTAAGCTGATCCATCAATCTCAAGTTTTTCGTTATATACAGCATTTATATTTTAGAATCATATATTACCATAGTAGAAAACCTAGCTAACTTTCTACTTCTCCACGTCTGTGATAACTAGCTTTAATCTTTATGGTTGTGTTTTTTTTCCTTTGAAAAACATTTCTTCTTATGCAGTACAATTCTTTTAATTTGTGGTTTTAAGTTTGGGGTTAAGGATAGAGAATGGCATGGAAGACGCATGAAGAAGAGAATGATTCAATATTTGAGTACCTTTGTTGAAAAGCCAAATATGCCTTTAAAGAAAAATGGCAACCCAAATAAAGATGCCTATAGGATGTGGGTATTAACAACACTATCCTTTGGTAAAATCAACATTTAATGTACACCTACCGTGTGAGACATATTGTATCAAGGAATACTGTTCTTGACAAAGGAACACTAAAATTAAAGACACTTTCCATACTGTTAAGGAAAATAGACTAGTAGAGGAGATAGGCTCATAAATGAGTAAGTAAAAAACACTATGGCAAGAATGGTAATGGAGTTACACACAAACCCACACCCATACACAACCACAACCTGATTTTTAAGATAAGGAATAAGCACATAGCTGACACTCCAAAGCATAAAAATCTCTAAGCTGAACTATCATTTTGTTTTTTTAGTTTCCAAAAGATTATTTCTACCACTTAGCTTCTCTCTTTGAATCAGTTTTGTTTTTCTAACCCTGTTCCAATTTAGACTAACAAAATGATAGGTCAGTGAGTCTAATGAAGGAGGTGAAATAAAATATAATGGGAAATAATACAGAGTATTTTAAATAATAAAAATTATCTTGAGATAGGATAAATGGGGAAGGATTTTATTTAATCACAGCTACTTATACCGGAACAATAAACCTAAAGCACAATACACCTGAATAAACATTCTAATAGCATACCTTAGTGCCACCCTGGGCAACAGGGATGACTATCAAGTCTACTTTGAAGGTCTCCAAGAGGAGATTCCCCCACATTTGGCATCCTGTTCCACTGCTTAATAATCACTTTCATAGTCAAGAGATTTTTCCTAATATGAAACTAAAGTCCCGGCGGGCACTTAAGCCTATTTTTGTTTGATCCTCTTAGGAGACAGAGACCATGAATGGCATAACTTTTAGCATCAATGCTCTTCACTTAAAGACAGGACTCATCCATGTTTTCTACCACATGTTAAGAAACCTTAACATTTTTGCCTTTCCTCCCAATCATAGTTTTCATTTTGTTAGTGATCAGGTGTTCCATATTCATTTTTAAATGCAAAACTCAAAAACAGACACAGTTGACCTAAAAATCATTTTCAAAATTCTCAAGTTCTTAAACATACTTATTTTCAATATCCTAAAGCTTTTTGAAAAATAAAACTGTACATTGTTTACACTTCTACAGTTTATAACTATGATTTCTTGATCCCTTTTTATTCTTTTGTCATGTTTATACTTAAGATGACTTCATCCTGTCATTTATTTTGCCCACATTGATTTTTTTATTCTGCCTCTGACAAACCATTCTCTTTGAAATTTATTTGTCATCATGGTATTAACTTATCAACTGCAAACTACAAAATACTCATCACTTCTTGGTGAATAATAATAATAAATAATAACTGACAAGATCCTCTGAGCCATCACTCAATACCACTTTACTAGGGGCCAGAGCTACTAACAAATGCCTCTCCTTGGTACAGTCCCAAGACTCTTCTGCAAGGATGGCAAAGCATGATGACACATCTGCATCTTCTCAGGACTGAAATGGACATAATTTAAGACTCTCAAAAAAAAAAAAGAAAAAAAGGAAGGAAGGAAAGGTAGAAGAAAGGGAGAGAAGAAGGATGTATGAGTGGAAAGAAGAAAAGGAGGACTATTTTTTATGTTTCCAGTATCTTTATAGAGATCCCGTGCCTATTACTTTTGAAGAATTAGATACATTTCTCCTAACCAGCTTATTTAGATAAGGTTTCTGCAGGGAAAGTGATCAGACCAGTAGTCTAAGTGGCAGAAATTCTCCCTATGTCACAGGAACAGGATATTGGTATAACATCAGAAAAACCTTACAATAAAATACTAATCAATTTCAAAAAGGGAAATGACAAATTTGAGGTAAAGAAACCTTGCAGACACTAAGATGATAATCAGGGTTAATATCACCAGTGATGGGATAGTTGATATTGTCTGTGCCCTCTGATCTGATCCACTGTGAAAAAAATGATCATTTCTATGGTGTCCTGCCAAGAAAGCACCGTCTGACTGTGGTCATAAGGAAACATCAGACAGACTGTATCAGGGGTCCCCAAGATCACACCCATGTTTGATGATTTGCTAAGAGGACTTACAGAACTCAGCACACAGTTGTACTCACAGTTATGATTTATTACAGTGAAAGAACACAAACCAAAATCAACAAAAAGAAAAAACAAACAAGGCAAAGTCCAGAGGAAACCAGGCACAAGTTTCCAAGAGTCTCTTCCCAGTGGACTCACAAGGGCCACACTTAACTCCCAAGACTGAGCTGCGATAACACGTGTTAAATACAATCTACCATGCAAGCTCTTTAGTGACTCACTGTTCAGACTTTTTATTGAGAAATGGTCAAGATGCAACCTCTGCATGGCACATATTAAAATTCTAAACTCCCAGAGGGAAGGCATTAGCCACACTGCTGGTACAGTTCAGGCACAGTGAGCCTGTCTTAACAGTTAGGGAGGTTGGAACCCTTTCAAAATCCAAGTTCTCAGAAGCTATCCAAGGATCAGTCTTGTAAGTAGGCCTTTCAAGGGGTAACAGTCAGGTCTGCTATGTTAAGTCTTTTCTGTATAAAGAAAATAAAATACTGGGAAAGACTGAGGAACTGTTCCAAACTGAAGTACCTGAAAAGATACCTTCAATGCCATATATATTCCTAGGTAGGATCTTGGACCAGAAAGGGAAAACTGAGATACTGTTGAGTAGTAATAAAATGTGACTAGTGTCCACAGACTGGAGGAAATGATGTGGAGGGTTTGTATGCTGGTTATATAGAAGAGTAACCTTGTTTTTAGAAAATACACAGTTGAATATGAAGGGGTAAAAAGGCATTAAAATGCAGGTCTACAACCTGCCCAAAAGGTTCAGAAAAAATTGTTAATGAGTATACATACAGAATAGGTGATGAAACAAATGCAGTACAATGTTAATAATTAGGGAATCTGTGTGAAAAAGATAAGGAGAAGCCCCTGGGTAGCTCAGTCGGTTAAGCATCGGTCTTTGGCTCGGTCATGATCTCAGTTTGTGGGTTCAATCCCCACATCGGTCTCTGTTCTGACAGCTCAGAGCCTGGAACTTGTTTCAGATTGTGTCTCCCTGTCTCTCTGACCCACCCCCCACTTGCTCTCTCTTTCAAAAATAAATAACATTAATAATTTTTTTAAAAAATGTATGGGAGTTCCTTGTGTTCTGGCATTTTTTCTGTACACTTAAAATTACTGAAGTTTTTTCAAAGTTTGAACTAGTCTGAAAATAAGTTATTTTCAAAAACTATTACCTTAAGAAAGATTTAAATTATATTCTTTTGAAGAGCTCTGATGATGGCAAACTGTCAGTTTTTCTTTAAAAGGACTAGATTCTGGGAAGTACCTAAGCTCGTTTGGAATTAATTTGACAAATAAAGGTAGACAACTCCAACTAAGTAACTCTGCTCAGTAGGTGAATTTGGTCAAAAAATAAAAGTATGACTATAAAGTATTAAGCTGAATCTCTTGGATAGTAAGTAATCTGACTCTGACACTACAGTTTGAAAGTTACCAAAGATAGAGGCACCTGGGTGGCTCAGTCAGTTAAGTGTCCGACTCTTGATTTCGGCTCAGGTCATGATCTCAGGGTTGGTGGGATCGAGCCCTACATAAGGCTCAGTGCTGTTAGCAAAGAATCTGCTTCAGATTCTCTCTCCTTCTCTGTCTGCTCCTCCCATGCTCATGCTTTGTCTCCCTCTCTCTCCAAAATAAATAAACATGGAAAAAATTTATAAAAATAAATAAGTAAAAATAAAAGTTACCCAAAATATTCTAAAATAAGTGATTAGCAATCTAAGGTCGCTAGTTAAAATGATAATACACCCTACCCCTAGAGTAAGTTTGGGCAATATTGTTTTGTTTTGGGGGTATAGTATATATACACTTCATAAAAACTCAGCACTAAAAATAAAACTTCTCTCTCTTTATGTCTCATAAGTGTCAATTAATATTTCTCAAAATAATAAAATACTATGTAACAATTAAGAGTACAGACACTAGGAGAGCCTGGGTGGCTCAGCTGGTTAAGCTTCTGACTTCAGCTCAGGTCATGATCTCACCGTTCATGGATTTATAGATTCGAGCCCCACATCGGGCTCTGTGCTGACAGACTAGAGCCTGCTTTGGATTCTGTGTCTCCCTCTCTCTCTGCTCCTCCCCTGCTCATGCTCTGTCCCTCTCTGTCTCGCAAAAATAAATAAAATGTTGGGGCACCTGGGTGGCTCAGTTGGTTAAGCATCTGACTTCGGCCCAGGTCATGATCTCAGCATTCGTGGGTTCGAGCCTCGCATCGGGCTCTGTGCTGACAGCTCAGAGCCTGGAGCCTCCTTCGGATTCTGTGTCTCCCATTCTCTCTGACCCTCCCCTGATCACGCTGTCTCTCTCTCTCAGAAATAAATAAAACATTAAAAATTTTAAAAAAATAAATAAATAAAATGTTAAAAAAATTAAAAAAAAAAAAAAGGAATACAGGTACTAGGATCAAAGAGACCTGTATTTTAAATCTGGTTCTGCCTGCTTTTAGATAATAGGACCTTGACCATCTTACTTAACCTTTCTTAGACTCCATTTCTTTTCATACCTCATAGGGTTGTATGAAGTAAAAGATAAAATGCATGAAAGGCTTGACATTTTAGGTATCACTAAATCAATGGTAGCAGCCATTGTTATCATCAGCCATAGTAGTAATAAAGGCTGGTTTCAAGAATCTATTGATCCAAGCTAACATTTATCAAGTGCTAACTAGGTGGCAAGCACTGTTCTTGTACCAAAAAGGATTTAAACAAAGAAGGAATCTAATAGGTTAAATAAGACATGTATAAACAGTGCAAGTATAATATAACAAAGAAATATAATCACAAAGACAAAAAGGTTAAATAGATCAGACCTAGTCTGAAAAAAATCAAAAGGTTTAGAAGCATTTGATGTAAGCCTTGCAGATGGGTACGATTTTTAAAAATATTACCAGATGATTAGAGGGAGATGGGGAGAGAAGAAAAATATCCAAGAGAATAATGGAATAAGCAAGTTTTCAGAGTGCATGTAATGGAGGAAATAGCAAGGCACTGCCAGCAATTTAGTTTGGAGAGACCAGAAAAGACTCATAAGCAAACAGAGGAGAGGCTGGAAGGAGGATTACTCAGGGAGGGCCAGAAAGCTCAGGCTAAGAAATCTGGACTTAATGTATCAGTCATTGGTGAATCACTGAAGGAGATGCTACACAGAGAAATTATATGGTCAGAAGCTTTCTTTCTACCTAAGAACTTTTAAGTAAAAATGAGAAATGATCATGAACCATGTCTTACTTTGGGCCAGCTGACATCACCGGACAACTTTCCTCTGTACAGAAATCTGTGATTGTTCCATAAAGCATATTAATCTGATTGAAGAAATCCACAGCTGCAAAGCAAATACCAGTTATAAGTAAAAAATTAAATTTTAATTTTACTTAAGCAGAATCCTAGATTTATCAGTGTTCTTTCCTCTACAAAGAACAGGTAAAAAGCATATACAGAAATCACAATACTTGGCTACACTGAAGTTAGGGATTTCTGTTTGTTAAGCGACTCCCTTCAGAGGGTAAAATAGCAAAGCACAGAGTGGGAGAAATTCTTTGCAACACATAAAACCAACAGAAATCTTGTATTCAGAATATATAAAGAACTCCTATGAATCAAAAAGAAAAAGAAAACCCAGTAGAAAAATGTGAGACAGTTTTGAACCCCAGCACTTATTAACAAAAGAAGCTTCCAGATGGTCAAATGGCATATGAAGAGAGACTGGCAATCACGGAATTGTAAATTTAAATTATAGTGGGATGCCACTCCATAGCCATCAAAAAAGTTACAATGCATTTTAAAACACAAAGAGCTAAGAATATCCAACACATTCTTAAAGAAGAACAAGAAGAACATGAAAATTTGTAAAGCACAATGGATAAATAGCGTGGTCTTAGTAGACCAATGGAACAGAGTGGAGACCAGAAACAGATAAGAAACAGCAAGCACGGAAGCATGTTAGTTTTAGGTGTACAGTCTAATGATTCAACAATTCTACACATTAGTCACTGCTCATCATAGTAAGCGTACTCTTATTCCTCTTCACCTATTTCATCCATCCCCCCATTCACTTCCACAAATATATTTATTTAATGTTTATTTATTTGGGGTGGGGGAGGGAGAGAGAGAACAGAATCCAAAGCAGGCTGTCTGAGCTGTCAGCACAGAGCCCGACACAAAGCTTAAATTCACAAAACTTGAGATCATGACCCAAGCCCAAGTCAGACACTTAACCGACTGAGCCATGCAAGTGACCCCATAAATATATTTCTTAAGAGCACAAAAAACACTTATCATAAAGGAATACTTTCAATGTTTCATTGGATTTATTCCTGGGTTTGTGATATTTCTGATGCTATTTATAATTTTTATATTGACTCTAGTAACAATCTTATTAAATTTACCTAATGGTAATAATAATATTGGTGTAGTAATAACAATGCTAATATTTCAGTTTTTCAACATTCATTCATATTTGGGGCACCTGGAGCCAACTTTGGCTCAGGTCATGATCTCGCGGTCCGTGGGTTCAAGCCCCACATAGGGCTCTGTGCTGACAGCTCAGAGCCTGGAACCTGTTTCAGATTCTGTGTCTCTCTCTCTGCCCCTCCCCAGCTAGTGCTCTGTCTTTCTCTGTCTCAAAAATAAATAAACGTTAAAAAAATTAAAAAAAAATTTATTCATATGGACTATGAATGAATTGACTATGAATGAATATGTTTTTCTCCAAGAGAAATTAAGAAAACAATCCCATTTAGGGGCACTTGGCTGGCTTAGTCAGCTAAGCATCCCACTTTTGATTTCGGCTCAAGTCATTATCTCACAGTTGTGAGATCAAGCCCCGAGATGGTCTCCCCCTACCCCTCCCTGCCCACTGCTGAGCATGGAGCCTGCTTTGGGTTCTGTCCCTCCCTTACCCTCTGCCCCTCCCTTGCTTGGGGTCTCTCTCTCAAAATAATAATAATAATGTAAAATAAAATAAAACTTAATAAAATACTTTAAAAATCCCATTTATAGCTGCTCCAAAAATAATAAGACATTGAGGAATAAAGCTAACCAAAGAAGTGAAAGATGTGTACTCTGAAAACTATAAAATATTTATGAAAGAAATAGACATTTCATGCTCATGGATTAGAAGAACAAATATTGTTAAAATGTCTATACTACCCAAAGCAAACTACAGATTTAATGCAATCTCTATCTAGTATTTTTCACAGAACTAGAACAAATAATCCTAAAATTTGTATGGAACTACAAAAGACCCCAGATAGCCAAACAACCTTGAAAAAGACAAGCAAAGCTTGTCTGGAGGTATCACAATTCCAGACTTCAAATTATATTACAAAGCTGTAGTGACCAAAATAGTATGGTACAGGCACAAAAAAATAGACCCATAGATCAATGTGATCAACAGAATAGAGAGCTCAGAAATAAACCCACACTTATATAGGCAATTAATCTATGACAAAGGAGACAAGAATATACAATGGGGAAAGGATAACATCTTCAACAAATGATGTTGGGAAAACTGGTCAGCTACGTGCAAAAGAATGGAACTGGACCATTTTTTTTCATCATCCACAAAAGAAACTCAAAGTGGATTAAAGACCTAAATGTGAGATCTGAAACCATTAAAAACCTTGAAGTGAGCACAAAAGTAATGTCACTGGCCATAGCAACATTTTTCTAAATGTCTTCTAAGGCAAGGGAAATAAAAGCAAAAATAAACTGCTGAGACTACATCAAATTTAACAGCTGCTACACAGCAAAAGAAACAGTCAACAAAATTAAAAGGCAACCTACAGAATGGGGGAAGATATTTGCAAATGACATACCCAATATAGGGTTAGTATCCAAAATACATAGAGAACTACAAACTCAACATACAAAAAACAAATAATCCAATTAAAAAACAGGCAGAAGACATGAACAGACATTTCTCCAAAGAAGATATACAGATGGCCAACAGACCCATGAAACCATGTTCATCATCACTTACCATCAGGGAAATGCAAATCAAAACTACAAAGAGATCTCACCTCACACCTGTCAGAATGGCTAAAATCAACAACACAAGAAACAACAGGTGTTGGTGAGGACATGGAGAAAGGGAACCCTCATGCACTCTTAGTGGGAATGAAAACTGGTTTAGCCACTGTGGAAGACAGTATGAAGGCTCCTCAAAAAATTAAAAACAAAATTACCTTATGATCCAGTAATTCCACTACTCAGTATTTACACAAAGAATACAAAAACACTAATTCAAAAAGATATATGCACCTCTATGTTTCCTGCAACATTACTTACAATAGCCAAAATAAGGAAGCAACCCAAGTGTCCATCCACTGATGAATGGATAAAGAAGATATGGTGTGTATGTGTAGACAGGAAGAGAGAGAAAGAGAAAGAGAGAGAGAGAGAGAGAGAGAGAGAGATAATGGAATATTACTCAGCCACAAAGAAGAATGAAATCTTGCCATCTGCAACAACATAGATGGATGTGGAGAATACAATGCTAAGTTAAACTAGCCAGAGAAAGACAAATACCATATGGTTTCATTCATATGTAGAATTTTTAATTTATTTTTTCTTTTAGTAATCTCTATACCCAACATAGGGCTTGAACTCAAACCCCAAAAAACAAGGGTCACACACTCCACTGACCAAGCCAGCCAGGCACCCTCATATGCGGAATTTAAGAAACAAAACAAAGAGGGAAAGGGAAAGGGACAGAAGCAGGGACAGGGAAAGGGAACAGAAAGAAAAAAGGAAAGAGACAAACCAAAAACAGACTCTTAACTGTAGAGAACAAACTAGTGGTCGCCAGAGGGGAGGTGTGGGGAGAGGGGTCAGATAGTCAAAAAGGTGAAGGGGGTTAAAGAGTAGTATATTTATATTGGTGAACACGGAGTAATGTACAGAATTGGTGAAAACACTCTATTGTACACCTGAAACTAATATAATGCTGTATGCTACTACACTGATTAAAAAAAATTTTTAAAGCTACTCCAAAAAAAGAGTATCTCATAAAAATATTTTACTAATTTCATCAGATTATTCTTGAATTGCCTTTAAAAAAAAAAAGGCACAAATAACTGAGTCTGCTACTGAAAGAGGCAATTTAGCAGTCACTGAAGTGTAGTCTACTTGTGAGGAGCACCGGGTGAAGTAGAGAGGTGCTGAATCACTATATGGTACACCTGAAACTAATATAACACTATGTTAACTAATTAGGATTAAAAGAAAAACTTAAAAAAATGTAGTCTCTAAAATTCAAAAGCCCTATATTTAAGCCCATTTAATAGCTGTATAACCTAGGCAAATTATTAATCTTTCTGTTTTATCTTCCTTATCTATACTAAATGGAAATAGTTCCTACATCATGATGCTATAAAGATGAAATAAAAATCCATGTAGAAAGGAGAACAGAGGGCCAAAGAATTAGTGTTCCATAAATATTAATTGCTGTTATTATCATTTTTCTCCACTGAAGATGGTAATTCTTTGCTTTCTATTACATTATAACAGGAGACAAAAATTTAATAAAACCCCATATTCACAAATAAAGTCACATAAAGGCTAAAGTGGACTGAGGTATCACTATACTACAACATTAAGTTGCTAACTAGAACCTAGAACAGACAGCATCCCAACACTAACCTAAATGAAGGCTATCAACCTAATTTAGAGTTTACTGAGAAACCGGCTACTTACTGTTCACTGCAACCCATTCATTTAGATCTTCCCCCTCAGGAAGCATGACCGCCATCCGGAGGTTGCCACTGCCAAGTGTGGCTTCTGCGTGCTTTAAGAGCTCATACTGGTGAGAACCCTCTGGAATGTTCTTCTTTGGTTTAAATGTTTTAGAGGAGCGGCTACCACTATGAATAAAAAAGAAAAGAAGAACCTCAATATTTAAGGCACAACTTTCAACAGAGTCGACTATATTTTATTACTGAATAAAATAACAGTGAAGTGATCCTAATGTCCACAAATAAAGAGCCCTAAATTGTACTGGCTACATTAAATCCCAGCAGAATAATGGTTAGAGCTACTGTTTGATACCCTAAACTCCTACAAACCTTCCCTACATCCCTGCTGCAAATCCCAAGGACAAAGATAATTTTTGGCTGTTAACTAATCCAGTTGTTCACAATAAATTAGATTCAAGATTATAGGCTATAATCTATAGAAACAAAATATTACTTCTGTAATCATTTTTGGTCATTTTATTCCTTTTCACCCCTATTCTAAGCCCCTCATTTTACTACAAATAATTTATTTCCTTCATTAAAGATAGTTTTATGTCAATAAAACCAAAAATCCTAGAGTGGGAACGAAAAGCTACATGTTCTGCCCAGTTACAGGAAGCATCAGCAATCCTAACCCAGAATTTCACACATGCAAATAAGTAGCTAGACATTAATATGGTTGGCTTACTCAAATTTCTCAATTCGTGGGGATACATGCATACATACCCACACATTTTTTAAGTGGATCAAATGAAACTAGTCTTAGAAATGTTTTTAAGAGTTTTTAAGAGATAGATTCTCCTGTTAGTGCTATCAAATTCTTATCAAACTGTATTATATCCCAGTCATTCCTTCTGAATACCTCCCTTTTCTTCTCTTCCTACAGAAAGGAACAGTTAAGAAGGAATTAGAACTAGGAGAGGCTGGGTATGTGGGAACTCTGTAAAGTTTCATGTTACTAAATTCATACCACCAAAACATTCATGTGAACATATGAATATGAAAGGGGAATTCCAAAAAGAACAGACAAACGAAAGTTATACTTTGCAAGCTCTCCAAAGCTTTTCACTCATTACCTTCTTCTCCCAAGCTTAGCCCCATGATCTCTCCTGTTCTCGCCAAGGTAACGAGTAGTTCTCAGTGCTGGTCACATATTAGAATTACCTCACAAGCTTTCAGAAAGTACTGAGGATCCTGAGATAAACTAAGAACCCAAAACCGAATTCAACCCAAATATCTGATTCTAATGACGTATTTTTCATTCTAAGGCAATGGCATTATCTTTAAACAGAAGTCTCTGATCAGGTGTTTAATTAGAGTAAACTGATGTTCTTATATTACTTCCCCCTTCTCTGCCAGGTATCTCTACTCAACAGCCAAGGTAACTCTAAAAGCACTGATCAGACATTTCTCCTTTGCTTAAAACCACTCAGTGGGTTTCCAGTGCCCTCAGAGTAAATCTGAACATCAAATATTAAGACACAGTCAGGCCCTGGACCGGAACTCTTTTTCAGTTTCATCAGAAAATGCATTAAACATCAAATCCTCTCCCAGCATCTCTAAAATATAAAAACAAAGATCATTATGCCTACACCAAGCTCGAGACTTACTTTATTTTCCTACTCTTCTCACCCTTTGTTTATCAAAATTAAGTGTGAGAAACTTCACCAACATTTTTTACAAAGACATTTTACTAATTTATGTGTGATTAATTACAAAAATAGCTCTCCTATGACTAATCTGGTGCATGTCTTCAGGCAGAGTGTTAAGTTAAATACACTCTCTTTAATTAGCCACTGTTCCAGTTAATGCAGCAACTGAGGATGTGACAAGCTGTTCTGAAAAGCGCTGGCAGAACACATGAGAATTATAAGGACATGAGTTGTGCCTGCACTCAGAGGAGGGTCAGAGCCTCACCTGCCCCCCAAAACCATCTACTTATTGAACCACTCTGCCATGAAGTCTTAGACTTCCAAATGTTTTCTTGATTGATACTCCACTCAGAACTGGTCTTCCACAAAGCTAAGTAAATCAACCACATAAGACTTTATTCTTGTGTAGAAAGAAAAAACAAATCTGAGTTCGATTTTATGAAGGCCAGCTATGTTATCTCAGGCAAATACCCCAACTTTCTTGAGTCTATTCTTTCTTAAGCAGTGAAAGCCTAATAAAAATAAGAAAACATCACCACTGCCTAGATCACAGATCTGCTGTAAAATGAGAAAGTAATATATGTGAAAAAAGTTCTTTTTAAACTGTAAAGTGCTGTGCAAATGTTAGCTTTTTCATTGTCCTTCCTGTTTCTGAATCAGAATGACAAGAGTAACAAATGAAAGGGTAGCACAATATCCAAAGTGGTATTCAATCACCATTCCTGCCCTCTTCTCCTAAGACTGGATGGGGGGGAAATATAACCCTACTTCGGAAACAAATGCTTTTACACATCAAGTTTATGAAGGAATATTTTTTAATCCTGTTTTATTTTTTGGTGGTAGTTCCATATCAAGGTTTGGGCGATCTAATGCTAATCATGGAAATCAAGAAAACAAGGTTCTATTCCTCATTTTGCTACTTTCTTTTTATGTTACTTAGGAAACCACAAATTATCATCTGGGCTTCAATTTATTTTGTTTTTTGAAAGTCTGGAAAATAACTTTTTACAAGAAGGTATAATTTAAGAGATGAGATAATGTTTATAAAGTGATTCTAGTTCCCTGCAGACTACTGACTTCCTTCTCTGTTCCTCATTTCCATGTACACTCAAACTTCCAAAATGTTTTCAAGTCCTCTGAGTTTCTTTCTCTCTGACCCTTCAGCTTTATTCAGGCAATATAACCGAACCATTTCAATACTCTATATTTTTTATATGTTCTTTTTAAAAACCATATTCAGGGGGCGCCTGGGTGGCTCAGTCGGTTAGGGATATGAATTTGGCTCAGGTCATGATCTCACAGTTTGTGAGTTTGAGCCCTGCGTTGGACTCTGTGCTGACAGCTCAGAGCCTGCAACCTAGTTTGGATTCTGTGCCTCCTTCTCGCTCTCCGCCCCTCCCCTGCATGTGCTGTTTCTCTCTCTCAAAAATAAATGAACATTAAAAAAACAAACAAACAACAAACTCAGCTTTGTCCTTTCTCTTTTAAAAAATTTAAGTTTATTTATTTTGAGAAAGAAAGAGCACAAGTGTGTTAGGGGCAGAGAGAGACGGGAGACAGAATCCCAAGCAGGGGCTCGAACTTGTGAACCACGAGATCATGACCTGACCTGAAACCAAGAGTGGAACTCTTAACCGAATGAGCCAACCAGACGCCCCCTCAACTTTGCCCTTTAAAAAATAAAAAACCATATTCAGTTTTGGTACACCTGGGTGGCTGTGTCAGTTAAGCGTCTGACTCTTGATTTTGGCATGGGTCATGTTATTGAGCCCCATGTCAGGCTCTGTGCTGAGCATGGAGCCTGCTTAAGATTCTCTCTCTGTCCATCGGACCCCCTCTCTCACTTAGATGTTCTCTCTCTCTAAAATTAATTAATTAAAAAATAAACTAAAAAAAAAACATATTCAGCTTTTCAACTGCTGCCTGAAACTTCCAGTATCCACCATACCCTGGAAGGGTGGTCAAAATGAGGACTCCTCATTCCTAGGTCTAAAGACCAACCTACAGAGTCCTCAAGTTCAAAACTACAAAGAGGAAAGCATATTTGCCAAAGTCCTCATCAATGAGTACAGAGCTCTTATAATAACAATGTATGCCCAAATACTTATATCTCACATGGCATTTTAAGACATTTGATGAAAATATTCAAAAACATTTTCAATAAGAGAAAGTATGTTACCCTCCCACTCACCACCCCCCCGCCCAGAAGAAATCTGCTTATCTGAAGAATCTCGAAATAATATCTTATATATCCTTCCAAAGAGTCTATGTCTATACAAGCATAAGAACGCTTGGGCCTGTTTTTGTTTTTACACAATTATTTCATGCTACAGTACACTAAATATTTTTCACTTAATATATCCAGGAGATGATTGTATATTAAGGCAGAAGTGGATCTAATTTATTCTTTTTAAGATTGAATAGTATTTCTTTATATAAATGTATAATATATATATATATTTAAGTTTATTTATATATTTTGAGAGAGAGAGAGAGAGACAGCAGGAGAAGGGCAGAGAGAGAGAGAATCCCAAGTAGGCTCTGCATTGTCAGTGCAGAACCCAACATGGGGCTCAAACCTGTGAGCTACAATATCACAACCTGAGCTGAAATCAAGAGTTGGACACTCAACAGACTGAGCCACCCCTGGCGCCCCTATGTATAATATATTTTAATCGGTCACTTAATGATAAACATTTAGGTTGTTTACAGTTATTTGTTACTATAAACAACGCTGCAGTAAGTAACCTTGTGCATATGTATATATGAAGAATAAATTGCTAAAAGTAAAATTGTTATGGTGAAGGACAAGCCTACTTTTTCCCCAAATAAACTGTACCTTTTTACAATCTCATTAACAAGGTATGAAAATAGCTATACACAGTTTCAGTCTCAGAGGCCAGGGATTCCACTGTTAATATCTCTTGTACAGCTCCTAACACAGTATCATAACTTTAAGAGAATTTGGAGCTTTCTGATTAGACAATGAATGATACATTATATATAAGGATGTTACATCAATAAATCACATCATTACCCTGGGGTCTTTTCTTTCCAAATAAACAACCAGAATTCAGGATTGTTTCTCCTAGTCAATCCTCTTACTCACATCTGAAGGCCGATCAGTTTCTAGAGTAAGACAGGATGGTTTGACAAATAACTGACTCCTAAGGGAAAACCCTGAACCCACATCTCTTATCATTTGTAATCCAATTTATCTACCTTTTATAAATTTCAACAGCATTATTTATTTCCTCTTTGAGAATCTGAAGAATGGATTAGCCCTCATTCCCATAAACCATTTCCCACTATCTCAATACTGTCACATTTATCATTTCCTTAATTTTAACCCTTTATTGTCAAATCCAACTATTAATGAAGTTGATACTTTCTAAGTTGAACAGGAGAATCTTAAGGCTATAGGAATTGGGGCAGGGGAGAGATATATAGAAAACTTGAAACAGGGGCATTAGTAAG